TTTTCTGCTGGGAGTTGCTTTTAGGCACGTAATCTGTGGGTTTTATTTATTTTCCTCCCAGTTAGGTTGCCCTCTGAGATTCAAAAACTTCCCCCAGACCCGCCAGTGCGAGGATTTCCTGGTGTTTGGAAACTTACTCTATTAAGACTCCCTTCCCAGGACAGGTCTCCATCCTTAGCTCGTTTTTCTCTCTTTTTATCTTTTATATTTTTGTCCTACCTCCTTTTGAAGACAGTGGGCTGCTTTTCTGGGCGCCTGATGTCCTGTCCTTTAGTTTAGTTCAGAGTTTAGTCCTTCAGTGTCTGTGAGCCCAGAATAAGGCATGGTAATAACTTTTGTTATTTCCCAAGATATTTTTTTCTCTTTTGTGAGACCCAGGTCCCTGATACATTTCTCTTGGTTCCAAGAAGAACAAACTCAAATGAAAAACAAAAAATCAAAACATAAAACCAAACAACATGAATGCCAATATTTCAACCCAGACTCTCAGCAGAACTGAATCCAGCTCACTGTAAAGCCTGGCACTGAGGCTGAGAAAAGGAAAACAGGTCTCTCACACTTTACATGCTGAGCACATCGAGCTCATAGATGTCAGCATTCTAAATGGCTCGCTTGCTGTTAATAGATTCACTGGCACTAAAATCCATTTCTTTTCCGGGAGATATTTAACTTTTATTGTATCTTTACTCATGGTCAAAAGACATCGGCAAATTTGCTTAAGTGATTGAAGATACTCTTCTTAAAGGCATTCCTGAAGTTTTGCCTTCATATCTTTGTATGTGAGCTTCTTGGAAAGGAAAACCAGAAATGAGTTTTATAGGATATAAGGTTTTAGTAGTTGTAGAAAGCCAAGGTTAAAAAAAAAACCAAAAACCAACCTTAGTAGAACCACCAATGAAAAAACCTTTAAGATATACGCAACCTAAGAGTTCATCTCTGAGTGCATAAAACGACAAAATCCTCAACACCAAGAACCTGTCACATCCTACTGGATAGTGTATCCAGACCTTCTCTTTTTAATCTCTATCCCCATAGAGCCCAAGATGTGGTATGTATTCAATGCACAGTCGCTGAATTAATGAGTAACATCTCTCACTCTCTGTCCATGGAATTTCCCAGTCAAGGCCTGACTTAGTGACTGACCACAGGTACCTCTCATTCTGAAAGGTTAGAGTTCTCCTCCAACCCCAAGACACCCAGGGGAACACAACGCTTGCCGTGGGGCAGGCGGGCATTACCTGTGATGTGACTGGTACTGAGATCCATCCAAACCATGAAAGAAATCTCTGCCATTCCTCAGCTTCAGGGCAGCAATTTTAATTTCCTTTATTTCTTCCCTTGTCAAAACACACCTTACAGATGACATTCCTACAAGCAACCGCTCTCATGGGTAGACTTATGTTAAAGTGTCATTCCCACTGTGCTAGTACAATCTCCGTCTACCTCTCTGCCACTCAAGAAAATATATCAGAACACAAATGAACGAGGACACCATTACTCTGGGAAGTATCATGAATTCGTGGCGACTTATTGAAAAGAGTAAATCATCTGCCATTTTGGTGTTTCAGATAATATTAGTTGTACATGACCTATGGAGGATCTCACAGTGATGGATGTGAAAGTTCACCGGGATGCCAAGAATGAGAGAGTGCTTCTCTATAGAATCAACCACTGAGACACACCATCTAGGAGATCTTCCCAAACCATCTCTGAGGCTCACATTAACCCCAACACACTGGTCTGTATGAACTCTGCCATGCACGTGAGATTCAGGAGAACCACAGTGATCATCTCTACGAATGGGCACAGCTCACATGGAAACATCCGCAAACGCATGCCACTCCACTCTCTGCGCCCTGACCCCGGAGAGGAGGACGCACAGAAGCCCACTCACCACGCCACCGCCAGCCGAGTGTATGAGCACAGACATCCCTTCTCGGAGGTTGGCAACTTCGAAGAGCATCATGTAGGCGGTGACGAAGTTCATGGGGAAGGCAGCGGCCTCAGAGAAGCTCATGTCCTCAGGGATCTTGTAGACAAATTCCACAGGCGTGCACACCACCTCTGCCCAGGCGTTGTAATTGACAAATGCCATGACACGGTCCCCGATCTGGCAAGAGGGAAGCACGGGGTTAGTGGAGGTTTCGTGGTCTTTTTTGAGAGATTTCTCAAATACACTTAACGATCTAGCAAAAACTATAGAGTCCTTCCCAGGAAAAAAAGAAAAAAGAAACCTTAAACCCTCAAATATGCACATCTTCACCTCACCTGCCTTCTGAGGCATTTGTGGATGCTCTGAAACCAATCTCTGCAAGCTTCCCAGAGGCCATGGAAGCCAGGGTCTCTATCCCTCTTCCGGAGCATAAATATACGACGTGCACCATATCGCACGCCTTGGAATGTTAGTGTCAGAAGCTCAGGTTACCGATCCGACCTCTCATCTAATCTCTCTGTTTCGGGATGTGGAGGGTCAAGGGGGCAGGACTGGGAGTCGGTCTGCTCTCTTTGGCTCTCTCCCACCCCATACTGATTCCCTGCCAGGCTAGTTCATGCAGGATTTGCATCAAAGGTTAGCATCGACTACTGATGGCATTAGATGTGAAACGTGATGCGTCACAAAAGTCACCTAAATGTGATTGCAGGGAATTGAATAAAAGCAACCAGGCTCAGAGAGAAATGGGAGAATGCCAGCGGGTGTGAGGAGTGACAACCAGCCTTTATTGCACACGTGTTATACGGCAGACGTTATCCTAAAGCTGCCACGTGTTCCACCTCCTGATCAGAAGAGGCAGGGCTGAATACTGCCATCTTTTTTAAAATCAGTGGTTTACATAGCCATACACCAGGCAGAAAAGAAAAGAGTGGTCTTCCCTTTAAAGTGGTTATAATCGTGTGCTAAGTTTTTTTTTTTCCCCCATAGCATATCATTATTCAAGGGAAATACAAAGTAAATCATCATGAACAGCTTAGAGTTGCCAAGTACTAGTTCAATGGAACCATTCTGCTACCTGATGTTAGGCTTATACTGTGACTCTTCAATGCAATATTCAAATTGTTACAGTCATAGTGATTTCTCAGTAAACTAATGGCTTTCATATGTCTGTGTTTTAGTTTACTTTTTTTTTTTTAGTAATTGATTCTACTGTTTTCTTCTAGTTTAGCCTTTCTCTTTTACTTCTGTTCAACAAACAACAACAAAAGCCTCCCGTGAGACTGGTTTTTTTATAGTTCCACATTACAGATGAATGATGAGAGGTTTTTGCAGACACTTAAACTGAAGCAAAACAAAGGTCACATCATTGATCTGACCCAGAGTCATGCAGTCAGAGAGTAGCTGAACCTGGATGTGAACATAGCTAGGCTGACTCCAGATACGAATAGCTAATTCATTACACCTATGTGCTACAAAGAAGACACGGACTTACATAAGGGTGTGCAACAGGGGAAACCTAGCAAGTCTGGGAATATTAGTCTAAGGTCTTTAAGTTTCAGTTTCCTTGGCTCTTACATGAGTTTAATGTTAGGAACGGGTCCTTATGAGATTAAATAACACAATAGGCAAGCAACCTATGTGGCATGGTGCATGTAAACTGAGGAAAGAACAATCAATGCTAACTCTTAAAAAGATTGGTTTCTGATCTCCCATGGAACTCAGAGTTTAATGATCAAAAGCTAAATATCAACCCACTGAGTTTCATGAAGCAGAAGAAGAGCTGTCTAACGAGGAAACTGATGGATAGGAGAGGCTGTCTCATGGGCACTGAGCGCCAATCCCTGGAAGCACTGAGAATAAAAGGATGATGTCAGGAACATCATGGCCAATGTGAGGGCTTGGACCAGAGGATCGCTCAGGTCTAATATTGGCATCCTCCTTTTACAGAGTCATGCAAATCTAAAGCTCTATCATAACACCAGAGTAGCTGATTACCTGCAGTGTGAACAGAGTGTGGGAAAAGAATATCTCAACCGCCTTGACAGTGATGGTCGTGCCAGCCCAGCAGGGTTGTCTGCTCCAGGCCTCTCATTTCATTATCAAGATGGCAAAAAGGGGGTCAGCCATCAGATAAACCCTAATCTCAGAGTCCAGAGGTGGTAAACTTTTTAAAAAATATCTAATTCACCTCATTATTTGCTTCTGTTGGGGAAAAGAAATTAGTCCTTGGCAACGAAGCCCAAATGATTCCTTTTCTGCAGTGCTCCCAGCAATAATTTTTCAAGGCTTCCTTGTAATCGATCAAGCCAAGAGAGCTAGCTGTTCCGTGTGTTGCTGTGTGGAATTCTATCTCCAACATGATTGAAAATCTTAAGTCAGACTTATAGAGGGCATATTAGTATTGGTTTTTCTCCCCAATCATGCCCTGACTGGAAACCTGTAGGTGGCTTCTTTTATTTGTTTGTGCAGCTGAAAGTACTGGAGGAGGGGTGGAGGAGATGATGGATCAATCTGACAATAAGCAAGCCAGGGCTAACTAGCAAAAGAAAGATCAAACATAAGGGAAAATATATATAATCAAGCACAGTGATTCCTCCCTATAAACCAAGGTCAACCCATCCCTAAAATGATGGGTTGTTTATCCAGTGCTCAGGATTGATAGAGCAAATGGTATGATCTTTTCCTTTGGGACAATGTGGAGGAATGAAGAACAGATTGTATTTCTTATACACAGCATTTTCAGGGAGAGACGGTGCTGCCTCTGGTTATATTGCCTACCTGGGGACAGAAAATGTAAAGTCATGGAGAAGAAAAGAAAAAGCACATTTACTTCTCTCTGAACGTTTTTCTGCCGTGTTATCTGGAAACCACTGACAAAAAGACAGATGAGCTGGTTGAGGTGTCCAGACATGCATCATAATGAATTTGGAGCATATTGATATTTTCAAAGTATATTGAGGCTCCGAGGTACTGAGACCAACCAGCAGGCTCAAAATTGATTCCAAGGGGATTTTGGCATTGCCTTTTACAGGATTTTTCTTCCTGTATTAACCATCCAATGCAGCATTTGCAGGTGGGGAGGAGGGGTAAAGATTGTAGGACTGTAGGAAGAGTCAAAATTCTCTAGTGGTTTGAATTCAGGTTCACCTTCTACTTGCTCTCATTCTGACCTCATGGAAAATTACCAAACCCTTCTGAACTTCATGTCTAAGAGGATAAGAATCTTCACCTTGCAGGACTGTGATGGGGCCAAAAAACAGTAACTTGCCCATGTTTCCGGTTATGGTGGATTCTCAAGTGTGAGGTCTCTTCGTCTCTCCATGGGGAAGCATTAAAGTTGAGTGAGAGCTCTTACGCCTGATTTCCAATGTTTTTTCTTGCTCTCAACTATCACAGTTTTGTGTAGTTGATTTGCCCATAGGTTTTCAGTTTTTATAGACCAGATCCTATCTGATTTGCATGGTAATGGTAAAAAGGATCTTTTCAGTGATTAAAAATTTTGTTATTGGGAGTTACGAACACGTACAAAAAACAGAATTATACAATAACCCTTTGTAGACTTGTCTTACTCCCCAAGCCACCAACCCATAGCCAATTCTGTCTCATGGTTAGATACCTCTACCCTTTGTCTTTAAATTATTCATCCAAAAATGCCCTTTCTCAATGTCTGAAGTAATAACGTATAAGTGATCACAAATGCATTGGTTAAATAGATACTTAAAGGCACCAAATTATAAAACACAGAGGATATTTCTCACCAACCTTTGCATTTTGTAATTAACTTCTGAGCCTGATGTGATGGTGAAATGGGAGTCACAGGTAGAGAGAGAAGGGGTATACGCTTGGCTAATCCATGGCCAAATCCATAATTGTATTTATTTTAATCTTTTAAAAAATATTTTTCTTTATAAAAATCTTTTTAATAACTATAAAGTGAATAAAGAGGATGCTAAGGTTTCCCCTGGCCACTTCACCAGACTGTTGCCAGGAGCTGTAACAAGATGGTCCCTGAGAAAGCCGTGAGACATTCGGAAAGTCCTATCACTTATAAACATGTGTGAAATAGATAGCTGATGGGCAGCTGCTAATAGCACAGGGGGCTCCAGGCCACTCTGTGAAAACCTAGAGGGACGGGGCGGGGTGGGGCGGGGTGGGGGCAGGTTCAGGAGGGAGGGGACATATGTATACCTATGGCTGATTCACTCCTATGGCAGAAATCAACACACTACTATAAGGCAATTATCCTTCAATTGAAATAAATTTTAAAAAGCAAATAACAAGAAGACGCGTTATAGATGATTCCAAATGCATTTTGCATAATATTTTGTTTAATCTTGTATTATCTCAATAGAGTCCAGATAAATATCACCCTTTCAGTCAGAAGTCAAAACATTACCTCAAATCCTTTAACACTGTCCCCCAGGGCTTCGACAATCCCAGAACACTCAAATCCTGGCACCAGGGGGGTCTTGGGAGGGTTGTCGATGTTCCCCTGGCGCACCATCAAGTCAATGAAGTTTAAACCACTGTAAACAGCAAACGTGAAAAGAGAGAAATGCACAATGAATGGAAAGAAAGCACTGGCTTGACTCTTCTTTCCTTCCCCTCCCCTCCCTCCGCTTCTTCCCCCAGTTCCTCTCTTCTTTCTTTTTTAACTTTCTGGCAAAGAGTGTCTAATATTAATGTGACTTAGCTAGATGTCACCCAAAAAGCTAAGCAACCATCTCTCTAGACAACTTATGCTTTCTCAGCCCTTCAAATGGCATCTGCAGCGTTCACGCTCTAATTCAAGAGAGAGCCTCATTGTCCCCACTCATAGCCTCCTTCCTCTTACTCTAAAAATGTACTGACCAGCCTGGTCATTAGCCATTCTAGCACTTAATTCAGGGTAAAAAAATACTAGGAAGAGTTTATAAGAAGAAACATAGAAAGCAGCCAGACATAATGGCCACCCACCAATCTATGAAAAAGAGAAAAAAAGATCTAACTTAAAAGGTCTCAAAAAGACTGTCACCAGTAGCTCAGCTGGTAGACAATCCACCTGCATTGCAGGAGACCCTGGTTCCATTCCTGGGTCGGGAAGATCCCCTGGAGAAGGGACAGGATACCCACTCCAGTATCCTGGGGTTTCCCTGGTGGCTCAGCTGGTAAAGAATCCGCCTGCAATGCAGGAGACCTGGGTTCAGTCCCTGGGTTGGGAAGATCCCCTGGGGAAGGGAATGGCAACCCACTCCAGTATTCTGGACTGGAGAATTCCAGGGTCCCAAAGAGTCAGACAGGATTGAGTAACTTTCACTTTCACTTTCACCCATCTCACAGACTTACACCAGCACCAGGCCATAAAGGCTAGTCGTAATGGTGACTGCGCCATCAAGAGACCACGCTGGGCGCACCTCAGGACGGTGACTCGAAAGACAGAGGTCAAAGGGACAGGCCAGTGGGTGTGGGAAGACTGGAAGGTTCGTTTCAAAAACCTGAGTTGTCTCTGGCTGAGAGAAGCCATTTGGTATTTTCTATAGACATGTTACTTTTGAAATAAGAAAGTTATCATTAAACCATGTCAAAGTCACTGCCTTGGAAGACCACACACTTGATTCTAATGATGCCACCAATGTTCCAAACTATTGGTTTTGTTTTGTTTTTTAAGAGCTACCATTGAAAATTGCATTTAATACCCATGAAGGAATGAAGTGAGAAAGCATGTACGTGAAATACATGAACGTGTATTTTTTTCGCATCACATGTGGCTCTAACATACTTTCTGTTTTCACAAGCTGCCATCTAAGGAAGATGTGGGTTGGAGAAACCAAACTCCTCGGTCTGGCCCAAGGCTTATTAGTCTCTGACCACACCTTCTTTCCCAAGCAGAAGACTTGAACTCTCTCTTAAACACAGCTTGCCCGTTTCCTCCTGGGCCTCTTTGGAGCCAAGGACACGTGGACGTCTACCTACCACCTCTGCTCTCTGCTTGCCAGTCTCGCCATAAGCAATGGATAAGGGCAAGGAGGGTAACTTCCTTGAAAGGTGGATTTGAGAGTCATCCCTTTCTCAAGGTTTTTCTAGCCACAAATGAGGCAAGATTCCCATATTCCCCCCACCAAAGTATCTCTGACATGTGTCCTTTCTGAAGACAGCTGCCTGCCTCACACTTCTTGGCTCCCAGAATACCTAGCATCCCTCATACCCACAGCAACATAGTAGGTACTCAAGCAACATACACTGAATGAAGGAATATTCAAAAACATGTGCTGCCAGCTTGAGTACTAACTCCTTTTAGGAAACAGCCAAGGGATGCTCAGAGTCATGGACAACTTTCTGAAATGTGTGTGCAGACTTTCAAAGATCCTGTTTTGGTGTTATTAAACACCAAACTATTAAGAACTATTAAGTTCTTAGGGCCACTTATTAACCAAAATGTTCTCTAATAATGTGACTCAATAAAGTCTCAATTCCACGACTTCTCCCTGGGGAACCTCAGGTCAGTTCCTCAACCTCTCTAAGCCTCAGTTTCCTCATCTGTGAAATGGGGGTTATGAGAGCACCCATATCACAGAGTTGTTGGGAAAACTGATGAGAGTTAAGCATTGTGCCAAGTAAAAAGTACGTATTCAATAATAACAATATCTGTGTCTTCTATTAAGAAGGCTGAAGTGTGAGATACATTTTGGGAAGATTCCCATTAAATGAGAGTGTAAGATCGTTTCAGAGCTGAAATGGGAAAACTTGAGCTATCTGTAAGCTTTACTTCTGTGAAATAGCCCATTTTCCGACACAATCAAATAAATAAAGCATCACGGTATAACAATAAAAAAAAATTTCTACATCCCAAATCAAACACTCCATCTCATTTCACACGTATTTCAGCTCACTGTGTTATATCCCCCATGTGAAAACTTATGATTTCCCAAGACTCTGATGGAGAAATGGCAGAAGAGATGACCTGACAGATCTGTAAACGTGCCAGCCCCTTGGATGAGGCTTCAGCCTAGGTGCTTGTTGCACTGCTCCGTAGGGCAGCCTTCAATTTCCATCCGGTACGAACCGGGTGCAGTGACTACAAATGAGGAGCCAGCGACTCGACGCCAGAGAGGAGGGCTAAGACTGACCTTATAAAGCCAGTAGCACCGTTTTCTCAGTGAGGCATGCAGTGATCCCGTCAGGATGGAAACAGGAAGGAGGTGTGTCCCACGTGAGGGGGTGGGTCAGTGTTGTTTATCTCAACACAGAGAGGAGCTGAAGAGGTGCTTACATCAGACCTGCTGCATGGTGCCTGCCCATATGCCTCCTCCTCATATGGACCTAGCCAGCATTTACTGAGGGCTCCATTTGTGGCGGAAACTGTGATAAACATTTTCCTTTCATTGCTTAAGACTCAACAACAATGAACTATCATACCCACTTTTCAGATGAGGAAACTTAGACTCAACAAGTTACTTGTATAAAGTCTCATCTTCGGAAACTGTCAAAGTCAGGATCCAAATCCAAGCCAAGTCCAGACCCCCGGGACCTCACAGATGATACCCTATTCCCTCTTTACAGGGACTTCATCCATTGCTCTTGATGAAGGGGGCACATCCAGGGGCCACATTTATAACTTCCTATCTCTTTGCCAGCTGAATGCACCAGTGGTTGGACCCAGTGCTGGAGGAGTGGCCATTCCTAGTTTAAGCAGGAGCCCATTCAGCATAAAGTAAACGAGCTGGTCCAAGAACTGGATCTCAAAAACTCTGAACTGGGAAACATGCATCAAGAGAACAACTTGGTACCAGAGAGGATGTCAAAAGACAGAACTGAGCTGGGTCGCAGATCCAACCCAACAGCTTCCACCAGGGTTAGCTATACACGCCTCACTGCAGTTACCAAGGATGGAAGAGACCACTCTCTCCATCTGTGGTACCACCTAGCACTATGTGCCTCCTGCCGTCAGATATCGAAGGGGTCCTTGGATACTTCACATGTGTGTTTATGACAGAGCTTGCCATTGGGCTACAGGTGTGGTTTCTGCCTCATTAACCCAAAATACAAATGAAAACAAATACCATAATCAATATCCGTAAATCACCCACTGGACAACCATTAATGACCTCATTTATTTTTTTTTTCAAGCAAAACCAGTAACATTGTTTAGAGATAATAAGTTCCTTGCCCAAGATCACACAGACAGTGAATGGTGAAGTCAGGGACTTAAACTTGGGTCTGTCAAACACATTTTTCTTCCCACCCGCTTCTGGAAAAAACACAGGGGCATATCAAGCCATACATCGTCATTATAATAGTTTCCAATTTTCTCTAAGATTTTATTTTCAGCTGGAAATTCTGAGGGGGTGGCCATGACTATGCCTGGTGATTCAGGCCCACACCACGGGTAATTGTCAGGTGTCTTTCTTGCTGACTTTTTATGTGGCTCTCTTAAACATCTGAGAGCGCTGCAAAAAGAAATACTGCTGCGAGGTGCTTGATGCAAAAATGCAATCCTGTGTTTCTCCAAGACTGATATAGTTATAAACGTAAGGCTTTTTCTCCCTCCCACACTAAATTATTAGTCAAATAAGAGGCTTAAAGTGTTATGACTGAGATTTACAGGGTTTCAGGCATACAGCAAAGTGATTCAGCTTTTTATATATGTATATATACATATATATCATGTATATAGATATACACTTTTTCAGATTCTTTCCCATTATAGATTATTAAAATATATTAAACATAGCTCCTTCGCTATAGTAGGTCCTTTTTAAAATCTATTTTATAGACAGTAGTGTATATCAGCTAATCCTCAATTCCTGAATTTATCCCTCCACCCCCCTCCCCTTTGGTAACCATATGTTCGTTTTCTTTGTGAGTCTATTTTTGTTTTTTAAATAAGCTCAACTGTATCATTTTTTAGATTCCACAGATAAACGATATTGCATGATACTTGTCTTTCTCTGTCTTGCTTACGTCACTTAGTATGATGATCTGTGATTTCATCCACGTTGCTGCAAACGGCATCATTTCACTCTTTTTTATGGTCGGGTGATCTTCCATCATATGCAGGTATGTATCAGGCGTGTGTGGGTGCTCAGTCGCTTCAGTCCTGTCTGACTCTTTGTGACCCCATGGACTGTAGCTGGCCAGGCCCCTCTGTCCGTGGGATTCTCCAGGCAAGAGTACTGGAGTGAGTTGCCATGTCCTCCTCTGGGGGATCTTTCTGACCCAGGGATCGAACCCATGACTCTTAAGTCTCCTGCACTGGCAGGTGGGTTCTTTACCACTAGCACCACCTGAGCCACTCATCTGTCGATGGACATTTAGGTTGTTCCCATGTCTTGACTATTGAAAACAGCACTGCAATGAACATAGGGGTGCATATCTTCTCAAATTATAGTTCTATGCCCAGGAGTGTGGCATTGCAGGGTCAAATGTCAACTCTATTTTTAGATTTTTAAGGAACCTCCCTAATGCTCTCCACAGTGGCTGTACCAGTTTACATCCCCACCAACAATGTAGGCGGGCTCCCTTTTCTGTATACCCTCTCCAGCGTTGA